GTGGCATATACATTAACGGGATCCTAAACGCAGAAAATGAAGGAACGTCTACGATCCCAAATTTGAATAATAGTAGTACTTATGATTTTAAATTAACCTACTTATTCATAATTTCTTTTCTTTTTAAATCATTTCATCCCAAGCAAGCCATAAAACACTAAAACATAAGGGGTTAGTGAGAATAAGAAAAAAAGAAATGTTATTATGGACAAAAAACAAAAAAGAAGAGGAAACAAGAAGATAGTAGATAACGATTGACATTGCATTTAAATTTTTGAAGATCAAATTTAATAGGGAAGAAATAAGACGCAAGAGAGTTCCACAAGCGAAAAATTCGAGAGAAGAAACTGTTTTCATAAAACTTACGGCTGCTTCTATCCAATTGAACTGTTAATTGATGAGACCTTGTTGACAATCAGTTACGGCGCTTAAATCCATGAAGTCTACGTATCTTAGGTGAAGTTTTATCAGATTAATTACCATGAAAATATTTATAAAAAAGCCACATGGAACCTACATTATGGCGGTTGGAAAGTCAATGAAGTGGAAATGCTTAGTCAGGACCAACAATGTTGCTGATTCTTCGTCGGATTTTATCAAGAATCTCAAAATATATATCAGGAACACCAGACCAGATGTGACAGCAATATTTAAATCAAGGACGAAATGTAGACGTATAAATATGTAAGATAGATTCTGGCGAGATGCAGTAAACCAAATTTCCTAGCAGCAGACTTCGCAATTGATTCAATGTACTCTTTTCACTTCATGTCGTAGAATATTAGCCCGAGCAGAGGCATTGAGCCACTCTCATGGATGTTAAACTCAGCTATGCTGATAGATGCCAGAAAGGCGTCTCTCATATGATTGATAGAGAGAAGTTTCGTTTTGAAGGCATTAAAATTAACAAACCATTCATTTTACCAGTTAACAGCAAATTGCAGGTGATTTTTTAGATCAGCCGATTAGATTTATTATTGAGATGGGAATAAATAGTTGTGTTATCAGCATAGGTATCGAGTTGAGAACTGATGCCATCGGAAAGATCGTTGATGAAAATTAGGACCAATGATAGAACCCTAGGGGACATCAGTATTAATGCAAAAAGATACAGAAGAGTGGCTGTTCAGGACAATATTCATTTCACGATTAGAAAAGAAAGACTGTATTCGTCTAGAAATAATATAACATGTGAAAAAAGATCAGTAGGCCTGTTATGGGAACGTACTCATAAGAAAAATGGACTATTCGTGACATTTTAAATACTGCGCCTCTCAAGAGGTATGAAGGAGATTGTAAGACGAGAAGAGATAATTGAAAGCATATTGTAAGGACATTGGAATAGTGATACTTGTCGAGACAACATAGTTCACTCTAACCAAATACGATAGTCATTACTAATACTTCTACTTTTTTGTAGTATATTTCTGTTGTAATACATCTTTGTATTCCATGCCCGTGTTCGTGTTCTTCTTTCATTTGTTCTAACCTTGGACAATCAGCGTGGTACAAGGAACTTGGACCATAACAATGCCAAACCTTGTAGAATGGTTTCGAGATGTGCAAATCAACATCTAGATTTACACCATTCGTATCTAATACTTGGACTCAACCTAGTAAATATCAAACATTATTTGTTTTAACGAGCAAATTTATATTTATATTTTCATAATTATTATGAAGACAATCAGCCAATTGATTTATATTTATTTTTTTCTGAAAATTTAATTTCATCGTAAAAATAAAAGATTTCGACAAAGTGATCTTCTATGTACTGCCTCCCTTCAGGTCATGGGCGGTCGTAGGTTTCCAAAACTTCCTATCTCTTGTTGCCTTAGCAGTTTTTTATTCCTTTGCTATTGCTACCACCCAAGTTCTCCATCCTCATTGTGACCAAGAAATTTCAGATGTATTTTCCTGATGCTGGATGTGTTCGTTTTGCAGCCATTTTCTTTAAGACTTTCACATTACTTACTCGCTTCTTCTATATAATTCTCAATATCACTTTGTAAAGCAACATTTGATTTACCTGTAATTTTTTCTTCATCTGTGAAGGTATTGTTCAACCTTCACTACCATATAAGATGGATATCACCTAGCAATCCAGCAATTCTACGAAAAATACTACATTATTCATAAAAACTACTTCCCGAATAAATCGCAAATTATATTTGAATACGTCTCCCAGAAGTTCTAATTAATGCCAATTTGGCTCGCTACCGTCTGGCAGACCAATTAGCCATGGAAAATTGTTCGTATTTCAGAGAAAATGCCCCACAACTAATCTGAGCCAGTAATATATATAAGAATCTATATAAGACAAACATATATATATATATATATATATATATATATATATATATATGTGTGTGTGTGTGTGTGTGTAACATATTTGATGAGAAAATTCTAATTGAGCAAAATTTAACATTCTGCTATTTTTTGTGCTGTAGCCACTGATTAGTGCTGAATGATATAGAATTATATTTTTTTCTGGTTCGGTTTTTCTTTTTAATCACTGATTGAAGGAATAATCTGGTATCAAATATGGAGGCCATTGCCCATACATCGTGAGAAAAAAGTTAGTACTAGGCTTTCAAAGATTAACAATACTACATACTGAAAGAACTAACGGTCTATTCACAACTTTTTTGAACGGCCACCTTGATTTAGTTGGTCAATGCTATCATAATACTGGCCTTCAGACCATCTTTCGTGTTACAAGGAGTCATGTTGGCGTCTCTCTCAATTGCTCGCCACAGATGATAATCAAGGGGGGTTGTAATCTGGGGAGTTAGGTGGCCATATGTAAGGGATGATGTGGTCGCATAAAAAGTCTAACAGCCATGAATGCGTTCTCCTGCTTGTGTGGCATGGGGCAGATTCCTGTTGTTAAACATGGGGTGTTCTAGCAGTTACCCTCGTGACCCAGGGCAGCACTACCTACTGAAGGCAAGTGAGGAGTTCGATGCCTTCACTAATAAATTCAGGAGTTATTTTACTTATTAGAATTATCAGAGCGAGTGCTCCAAGTTTCCGTACCTTCGTAATCACTATTAGACTCATCCAACTGCACTGTTCTCAGACTGAAACTGAAATATTCTGAACTGTTCGTATTGGAGCTTCCAGCGCGAATACCAAACAATTAAGGGTGTCGTTCTCATATTTCTGGCGGGGTGAATTGCATCATGATGCTCTTTCTTTCACATACGATGCCCAACTGATCCTAATATACGGTGTAGCTGGCATAATTAAAAACAAAACAACGCGCATGCGCAAAATTAAAAATATAGAATAGCAACAATTTACCCTTAACACTATATATATATATATATATATATATATATATATAAGAGAGAGAGAGAGAAAGATGGGGTTATTGGTAAATGTATTTGTTTGTGTGTATGTTTGTGTGCACGTGTTTATGTGCGTATATGCATGCTCCTATGTGTATGTACGTATGTGTAAGTGTGTAATAATAAAAAACGAAAATGTAAAGAAATACACACACACGCATATATATATATATATATATATATATATATATATATATATATATATATATATATATAGGTGCAATGCAACAGCAAAAATATAAACTTAAACTCATTACTTCAGACATTATAGTGGATACTCCTACAAAGCCAGATTATATTTTTTTTTTTTTTTATTTTATGTGGCCTGACGATTGCATCTAGCATGAAACAAACTGTCGCCTCTAAGTGTTGACTTCTATGTTCACTTTTGTGTATATATATATATATATATATATATATATATATATATATATATATATATATATATATATATATATATAATTGTTAATACCTCCTGACGAGTGGACAGAACGATCACAAAACGGTTCTTCTAGGAAACTCAAGGGTTGGCGTGCTTAATATAACATAAATCAGCTATGTGACAAATCTTATTTGTATTAATCCTATATATATTTTTCCCGGCATTGTATTAAGGATGCCTTTGTGACATATGCATCTATATTTTGCCTTTGGTTGCATCCTGAAAGAAAAGTCTGTAATTTAAGCAAAAGTTTTGAACCTCTGAGACAATAGTTTAATAGATTAAAGCGATGACTCATCAATTTGTTTACATAGTCATTGCGTGTTCAATCGCTGTCCAGTGTAGTGCACAATTCGAGCCACAGGAAAATGGTGAGCAATAAGTGAATAACATAATTTAACTAATTTACTTAATATAAACAAAACGAGGTTTCTCTGTGGATAGCAGGATGAGAAAAATTTACTTCACACCGCAGATTAATTAAAAACTTTGGTTCGAAATTTCTTGTAGGCTACCCGGATCGATGAAGATCATCGATCACAAAGACCAAAATGTTGTGATAAAAATAACCAAGTGTCTGAATGTAAATTCATTCGTTTTTTTACAGCTTATCAACACTTTACAGGTTTTAAAGCCAGATGCTTATATTGTAAGAATAATTTTGTTAATTAATGTCATATAGGAAGAAAATGAATAACTACACCCACCGATATTCGAGCTTGACACTCTGGATTTACGAATATATGTTTTCCGCCATGTTTATAAATAGCGGTGTCAGGCTACTGACTGCAGTGATTATTGAGTGGAACTATCCAGTCGAATTAGTGTGAATTACTGGGCGTCGATGATTTAGGTTTTGATTTAGAATTTACCGGACGTTAAGCCGAGCCACGCTATTAACAAAGTATTCACTGAAATGGTTAATTAGCTTTGGTTGACTTTTACTTTTTTTGTTCTTTTTAAGCATTTATTTGTGTTTCGAATGAAATAGTTATATTTAACATTGAAGTCTTGAGTTATACTTCATTATTAACAGCAACTATACGTCACAAAAGTTAATAATATATGTGATACAAGTCTTACTAATCACCCTATAGTTTCGAGGAGAAGAGGTGGAGTCATAGCTTTCCCAAGGGTATTAGCGCGTAAGGAAATATAACGAACAGTTCCGAAACATTATCCATTACATCACCTGCACATCCAAGATTACAGCACCTATTATTTTCAAGCGGTCACCCACCTAAGTACTTACCAGGCTCAACGTTGCTTAACTTCGATGATCGCACAGGAACCGGTGTTTCAACGAGATGAGACCGAAAACCTCGAGTGTAAATAATATAGAAAATATGACTTCGTAAAACAACATTTGTTGGATGAAATATCAGAAGCACAGAATGAGTACATAATTCAATTTACAGAGAAACGTTGCACCACTTCAGGATGTTTCTGCCTGATCGTTTTAGACGATGCCAAATTCTCATAACTCCGTTCGAGTGCTTAAAAAACGCGCACACACACAAATATGCTTATTTAGAATTCTGCACTATCGTTAATATTTTCAGTGAAACACTATGGACATCAACCCTGAGATTTCAACATCGTAATTCATGTCGCGAGACAGAAGGCGGACGGGAGCAAAATATTCTCGTCTATTCGACTAAATCCTTCCGGTTTTTTTTTTCGTTATTTATTTTAACATTTTTTAATTTTTATTCATTTATTTTCATTTTTTATTTGTTCTATATTTTTATTTTATTTTATTTTTTATTTATTCCTTTACTTATTTTTTATTTATTTTTTTTTTTTGTTTGCTATCGTCCTTTACGTTGGTTTTGGGATCGACCAGAGCTGGAACCTTGATATAAAACGGGAGTAATATATGATTAGATTTCGTATACTTTGAAATTTTAGTCGATTGCGATGTCAGAAGTAAGACATGATTTATTGTTGCAGGAGAAAGAGAGGTGAGTGAGAGAGTGTAGTGTAGATAAGAGACATTGAAGAATATACGTTAAAATGTAAGCAAAGAACATCACACTGAAAGCCGGGTTTGGTCGATTTCAGATTTTCTTTTAAATTTTACTTGCATCTTCTTTTCGAAATGGAGACGATACAAAATATTTCAGAGAAAGAATTACACTAATCCTTTATTACATTTCATATGTACTTTTATGTGTACTTTATTCTATTCATATATGTATTTCTTTGAATTATATATATATATATATATATATATATATATATATATATATATATATATATATTACCCTTAAGCAGAAGAACATTTTCTCCACAAGTTCAAGAAGTATTGCTACAGACAAAAGAAAATTGTTAAACGTGAGAAAGCATGAGAAAAAAATGTATTATTTTGAATAACCATTCTTAGCGTGATGAAGGTCACAAGACCCGAAACACCTGTACCAAAAATAGCGAAAATAAAGTATAATATATATTTTTAAAAATCCACATTATAACCAAAAACGTTTGCAGCTTCTCTTTAATATATATATATATATATATATATATATATATATATATATATATATATATATATATATATATACATATATTATTTATTTAAAAATATGATTCCATCGCTACATAAAGAATAATTATATTTATGCTCTACTTTTGTATCGAGCAGTATTTTTAAAAATAATAACAAAAATACTAAAGAACTTTGGATTATTTACCTAACGAGTTCTTTCCTATTTTCTATATATTTTTACACACACACACAAACAAACACACGCACACACACACACACACATATATATTTATTAGATGGAGAGAGAGTTTAGAATGGATTTTTTATTATCCCGACACATTTTTATCACGTTTAGTGACTACTCGTATTTGAGTAGAAACTCCGTTAATTTATTGAAGATATTTGCTTATTTTTTCTACCGGCCTTAATGTTCGAGAGATCTTATTAAAGATTTGAGTCGTGAGTGGAATAGGAGATGAACTTCCGAGCAAAGCACTCCATCTTATCTGTCCTAGATGTCAGGACTTCAAACTGATTGGATGGACTGGGTGTTTGCTCTTGCTCAGTACATTTTTGAAGAGCCGCCAGTATTCGCTAGAACTGAACTTTTCAGAGACTATACGTTGTTTCATTCTATCATCAAACAGTGACTTCGGTTCTTTGCGGAAAGGCTTGCCCTTTTTACAACCAGAGATAAAAAGGCATATGTTGCAATCAAACCTGTTAATCTGTTAAAGCCGACAAAAATAATTAAGATAATGGTCATGATTTCACTTCGTATGTCCTTGCTGCAATGAAAATTCCGATGCCGGCTTTCAACAGAAAAAGATCCCAGAGGCACATATTTGAACAGGATGACTAAAAACATTATTCCAAAGGACGTCGTGAAGGAAGTCACTGAATGAGCCACAATCAGCGAGTTAATAGCAGAAACATATACTGTTGGTAGAAAGATCTTGACAGGAACATGAGACAGCGGAAAGAGATGTTTACATACACTACCGTATGAACGGAGTTGACAAATAAAAACGGGCAGAACTGCAAAGTATTACTTGGTTCCGGGGTAGAGGTAAAGAAGTGATCAAGCAGAGAAGCATGTCCATCAGGGTTACTGGAGAAACGCTTAAGGAAGTCCACCACTTGTGTGAGATATTGAGAGATTAATAAATTCAGGGTTTGAATGCCAGCAAGATCAGTGTTAAAATGATTAATCCACCAGGCATGGTGGGCATTGAAGTAACCGAACAAAAAGCTATTTACAAACGGTTATAAAGGGATGACCTTATCTATATCATCAGATTTACTATCTTGCACACAACTGTCTTGAGAGGAATGGGGAATGGTAGCGAAAGAAAAAATAACTGACTGAATTTAATAGAGAAAGACGGAGACTCATGTAACAGCAGTCTGGAAATTCAAGAGAGAGTTCCCTAGTCAGCGGGAGATGTTCCCGAAAATAAACTCCCAGGATTTGCATGTTAACACAAGTGTCATTCCTCAGGAGCGGAAGATAGCCAGGAATCGAGAATTCAGAATTAAGATTAATTTCACAGAACGCTAGGATGTCTAGAAAATGTTCGAAGATGAACAATTCCACATTGCAGAAGTTGGTACGAATACCACGAATCCTCGAAAAAGAAAGTTGAAAGTGTTTAGATGATTTTTGTCGAGCTGGTTTGGTTTTATTTCGTTGGTTACTTATTGTCATGCTGTGTTATTTAAGTTAGGAAAACGCGGGGAATAGTAGAATCTGTCTGCCGTCTAAGGTAACATGTACGAACTGGGAATTAGCACAGACTGTAGCATGGTTTGGTCTCCGGGTTGCCCACAGGAGGTGCTTGCAGTGATACCTTTTCATGCGCGATATCGCACTGCAAATTCTATGTGCCTGTTGTTCAGGTCAGCCTCTCTAGACGTTGCGCAAGTGTTCGGGCTCCACATTACCAGTCGGGAAGCAGAAACCAGAAAACTGACAACCTGGTATCCTCAGTATGAACAGATGTAACCCCCATCCACATACATCACCCACAATTAAGGCATCAAAAGAAGAAAGCAACAGGGAACACCGACCTAAACAAGAATCAAGAGATGATCCTCTACACATATTCGGGAGAATAGGGAAGAGTATAGACTGGACGATAAGATGTATCTACTGCTATCAAAAAAAAATAAGTTACTAAATTTTAAATTAGTAAAAGTCGAGATATCACTTAAACTCCAAACAAGGAATAAAAATGGCACATACCTCTGGCAAATCGAGTATACGCGACCTGGGTTTGACTTTCCAGTTTTGTTAAAACTTTGAAAATGAATACAGTAAGCTTAGTTGGACAGTCCATCATCGACCCGCAGGACATTTTTAATTATGCTATTTTCAATTTCTTTATTTATTTCTGACCACCTAGCTATTTTGGAACTTTGGGGGAAAAAGGGATTAATTTGCTCTTAAATAGCGGAAAATAAAAAATACGATGACACTTACATTAAAATTGAAATAAAGAAGAAAAATTATTTAAATGTGGAAATTCTCTCTCTCTCTCTCTCTCTCTCTCTCTCTCATATATATATATATATATATATATATATATATATATATATATATATATATATATATATATACAGGTAAGATGACAAAAATAGAGTACAATTCCAACGTTTGCAACATTTAATTTAAATGCAAAGTAGAGCAATGTTATTTTTATTTATTTTAGGATATTACACCGTAAACACGCAATTGTAGAGCGATTTTGACATGTTTTCGGTGCAATGTGCGAATATATATATATATATATATATGTATGTATTCGGACATATATATGGTATCATGTTTTAATTCCTATAACATCTTGCGCTTTTTTTTATTTTTCAGCTCCATGCATTTAATTTAACTTAATATTCAATTTAAATCGTTAATCTTCTTGGTAAGTTAATAAACATTAATTTTCCTTAATTTTAAACAAAAAAATTGTTTTCAAGTAAATAAACACTGCATTTATTCTCATTTAAAGAGTGATTACATTTTTTAGGACACCTAGTATGTGTAAATATAATGTTCCAATTGTGAGTGCTGGGGGCAATAAAACAGTGGTCGATGTATAATAACAAAACAAAAAATTATATTAATAACAATAATTAATAATTAATATAGACTCCATTCCTAATCTCTTGCACAACTCGGGATTTCATGCTTGATGTAATCTTCAGTTTTTCAATCTGCACCTGCCGATTGCTTCATGCATGAAACTCAGAGCTGTGCTATATATATATATATATATATATATATATATATATATATATATGATTTGTAATATTATGGCCTTATTTTGACAAATCATTACAACATATTTTCAGGACTCAATGTAAATATGAATGGCGTATTAGGTTTGATGATTAATTTGATTTTTAATGGTTTAGCGACCTTCTGCGGGTTATTTAAAGTCTGAACATCTTTTTAGATTGTAAGATGTATTTTTTATATAATAGTGCTATAGTGAAAGATGTGTTACTAATTAACCCATAGACAGGGGTAGAAGTGCTGGATTCATACATTACCCAAGTGCAACAGCGAGTAAGTGAATATAACGAACACAATGGGGGAATGGAACTCGACTCTCCGGGTAACAATTCCGAGTAATAAGTAATAATCCATTACCCCCCCCCGCCCTGCACATCCAAGCTTACAGCAACTGGTATTCCCAAGATCACCTATCTAGGTACTGACCAGTTTCAACGTTGCTTAACTTAGATAATCGTACTGGGACCGATGTTTCAAGGTGATTCGGCCGCAAGTTAAAAGCATACGTGGGCTATAGCCTT